TATATGAAACAAAAAATTGGATTTAGAGCTAACAATAAGCCTGCTGACATTTACTAAGAAAAGGAAACTTGTCAAAACATCAAAGTGCAGCCATTTCATAGGCGTTTCACTCTCTGGTGTTCACCACTAGCATTACCCTTGTCAGGAGGCGAGGAATTACTAGTTCGTAAGGGGGAGGGGTGGGAACTGTTAACATTTCTAATCTGAGGCTAGCTCCAAGGTCAGAGAACGTTGCTAGAAGTTATATCTTTCACGTTGCACGTAATTAGTGACCAGTCACGGGACAACAGTCACAGACGACTTGCGTTCCCAGGACAGCGTGGATAACTCAGAGATATACTATTAACAAAGTTCCCTTCTACGATTCAGCCTTATATAATTTACTTTTACCATCGCAACACATTGTATTATGTAGACGTGACATGAAACATTATAACTGTCGATTAAGCTCTATGGCAGAGACCAGAAAGACAGGCCAGAAAGAACCGTCAAACAGGCCCTTTGTCTACAGACACAGTGCCCTGCCCTCATTGTCCTAGACTCTTTCGGGCACGTTTTTGACTTATCACTTTCTGTCTCATAAACATTCAAATGCAGTTTCATGACGAATGAAAGAAAGGGTTGTCCTCATCACGTGTGATGGACGAACGAATGACGACGAACGATGGCAGGAACGCAACGTTGGGTCCAGCTCGTCGGGCTGTCCACAAATCCTTGCTGTTTGCTTTGGCCACTATGTGTGTTCAGAGGGGACTAAACCATAAATTGTCGACCCCCAGATCAAGGTTTCTTGTCACGGGTTTAACTCAACCTTTTGTCACTGGTCACCGATACAAAGCTTTTGTTCTACTCCCTGCCGCATCAAGCGATGGGAAATCTTGGCACCTCAGGGACTTTCTCTTAATATATCTTTCTAACTAGCCTCTGAAACCACGAGTCTTTTGTATCCATCTCACACTGCCCCGCAGTTAGACTACACTAACTGACCAAAGAACCTGGTGAAGGTCAGTGGTCTCACAGTTGGCCTTTATCACGCTATACATATTTATGGAAATATCGATGCAGCACTAGTGTCACTTTAGAGCCGCCGTGATGTAGCGACTAGACACACGCCTGAGGATTTGAAGGTTGTTGGTTCGAGTCCTAACAGAACCGGAATTTTGTTTTCCAAAAATGACATTGTCTCTGAGATATATGTCCCGAGACGTTGGTGTCACGTGTCTATTATTAGGGTATCCCTAATAAACAAAGACACTCTGGAGTGGATTAAATGTTGAGATGGCGTCTCGTGTTGATGGTGCTTTGCAGATCCAACAACCATCCAACATCTAGAAATTGTGTTAGCTGGTGGCAAAATCGTGTACATTATCCTTTGGATGGTCCAGGGACATTTGGGAATTGAAAGAGTTAATTAGAATGTTATTCTTCTTTTTCTGCAGCATTCCGAGCTCTTGAGGTTCGTTGTAGCAGATATCACCCGCTTCCATTCGTCTCTTTGGTTGGCCTTCTCTTTCCAGTTGAATGTTGTTTGTACAAGAATTTAAATAAACCATTTCCTATTGATTTTGACCTACAAGAGAAGTGCAGAGAGCAACAGAGGTCACTGCTCATTGCTTTCATAGATCTCACTAAGGCCTTTGACTATGTCAGCAGAGATGGTCTATTCAGGATCCTTGAAAAATATGGATGCCCACCTATACTAATGAGCCTAATCAAATCCTTTCATGAGAATATGAGGGGGACCATAATATATGAGGATTCATCATCTCGACCCTTCCAGATTCGAAATGGAGTGAAGCAAGGATGTGTTCTGGCTCCCACGCTGTTTGGCATCTTTTTGACCGCATTATTGAGGCGTGCATTTGGGACAGCAACTGAGGGGATATACCTCCGTTCGAGGTCAGATGGCAATCTTTTTAATCTGTCCAGGCTACGTGCAAGGACGAAGGTGCACACGAGATGCCTCAGGGATTTTCTGTTTGCGGATGATGCAGCCATTGTGGCACATTCAGAGGATGATCTGCAGATCCTGATGAATCGCTTTGCAAATGCTTGCAAAGAATTTGGGCTTACCATCAGTCTGAACAAAACACAAGTGATGGGATTGAATGTTGGAAATCCACCAAACATTAGTGTGTATGACCATCAGCTGCTGGCTGTAAATGAGTTTGAAAACCTAGGCTCACGTATCTCAAGCAATCATTCTCTGGATGCAGAACTAAACAAACGTATAGGAAAGGCCTCTGCTATGTTTGCAAATCTCACAAAGAGAGTCTGGTCAAACAAAAAGCTAACTGATAATACAAAAATGAAGGTTTATGAGTCTTGTGTCCTGTGCACATTACTGTACGGCTGCGAATCCTGGACTCTCTATGCTCCACAGGAAAAAAGACTGAATACCTTCCATATGCGCTGTCTGAGACGCATCCTTGGTATATTATGGCGAGACCTTGTCTCCAACGAATGTGTGCTCACAAGAGCAAAAATACCATCAATGTATTGTATACTGAAGCAAAGACGTCTGCGCTGGCTGGGACATGTCTCCCGCATGGAGGATGGTCGTATTCCAAAAGATCTCCTATATGGTGAATTGGTGACTGGGAATAGACCTACAGGAAGGCCAAAGCTACGCTATAAAGATGTATGCAAAGGTGACCTAATAGATACCAACATAGGCACAGAGACATGGGAAAAATCAGCTTCAGATCGACTATTATGGAGACAGAAAGTGAAAGACGGACTGTCACATTTTGAAAGAAACCGAACACAACGAGCTGTGGAGAGGAGGAACCGGAGAGTAAAACTGCCTCACAACAAGGGAGTATCTGCTTTTGTGTGTACCCTGTGTGGCAAAGACTGCCATTCCCGCAACGGACTTTACAGTCACAGCAGATGCTGTTCCCAAAGCCAGCGGCACATCTCCATAGTCCCCCGGGACTGACGGATGCCATTTTTATTGATTTTGACCTGCTGATTTCAAGTATTATTTGACATTCAACAGTTGGCGCTTTATTTAAATGATTATTTGACATTACAGCAATTAAAGTAATGTAGGCCTGTTTAATTCTCTGTAGTGGACAGTTAGGCTTTTTTTTTTAAGCATTATCAAAAATGCGTTTTCGTCGTACTCAATTAATTTATGTTTAAAAGCTAAATGATGTTTAAAGATCTATTATTTAAAGCTCACAAATAATTTTTTTAAGACACACTTCAACCCATTTCGCAATTATTCAGTCACAGTTCAGTCTCTCTTTGCTTTTTTCTTTTAGTCAGTTGTCAAGAGACCTCTTGTGACAGTCGAGTAGTTCCTTGATACCTTGTCTCCACAGAGCAATGTCCTGGTGCAATCGTTCACCATACTTACCGCTGACAGCTCTACATTCTGAGGTTTAAAAAAATATCTAGATGAAAATTGATCCCACAAATAAACTTCTAAAGGCAAGTTGCAGCTAAGATTCTTATTATTAGGATAATAATTTTGTACAGTTTCATTGAAATTGTCAGATCTGTTTTACCACTTACTTACCAATTTTTTTTTTTTGTATTGTTTTGACAAATTTGTTTATGAGACCCAGCTTAATATGCAGTGGAGGCAACAAAATCTTGCTGGTGTCATCAAGTGCTGGGTTCTCAACGCTCTGACTACCAGGTTGCAATGATTATCTGATTGGCCAGTGTCTTCTGATGTAGTGATCACTTCAGCTATTCCACTCACATACAAAGTAACAGTACTTGGTGTATCTACTCTATAGTCCAAGCAAAAGAGCGACCACTTTTTAAGTCACTGATAAGTGACCAATGATGATGCTCGTGGATTATATGCTTCAACAGCTATTTAATATTTAATGGGTGTCTTTCATATAAACAGCGTGACCAACTGGAATTGACAGTAACACATTACTGATTATTCAACAAAACAGCTTTAAAGCTCGTCTTGGAGAATCAGTGAAAACCCTCCATTCTTCCAGTTAATTTCGAGGGCTCCTATAAAACCAGAAATGTCATGCATGGCATGCACAAAGTTCGTGCCCTCTTTGATAGACAGTGCAACGAGCGGCTTCTGACGGTTCCTATACACAGAATTTCTTTTCTCTTCTGCCATGAGATTCTACTGTTACAATCTGGAACACAAAAGATCTACCTGGTTTTTCGGTAAATTCAGATCTCTTACAAGATAAATCTGTTTACTTTTAAACGTTTAAAAGTGTGCTTCGGGTGTAGTTTTGTCAAAATCTGAGTCGCTTGAGGTTAATTGTTCAGTACTATCAATGTCTTCTTCATCAATAGAAGCAGTTGAAAATGACTGTAGCACTTTGGGAATTTGTAGATCATCGCCGTGTGGTAATTGATGTTTTGCAGAGCGTTCGGTTGGATATTCCAGCTTCTATTTTTTTTTTCTTTAATATGTTTTTTCTTTTTTCATGCAAAAGTAGTTGTTGAGATGGTCAGTGAGCACTCTCCAGATCACCTAGAATGCAGAGCGTGTAGTGTGCATTTTGTCAGTCAGCCACAGTTTCAGATGTGCAGCGCACGCTCTGCAACATACGTATGGCACCCAGATCTTACTTTTGTCTCCTATTCTGCAGCCAAAATAAGTAAAAGTAAGTAAAGTAAAGATCCCTTTTCACGCCTTAGGGCGTATCGGAAATATGGGGAGAGGGCCCATATTTTTACAGACCATCGATACTACGTGGGCAATATGGTCAGCATTACGCCGGCTGTCTTTACTTCCCCAGGACAGCCATCCTGGTACCCATTTTATGCAGATATAACTTCACTGTATTGACAGTGATTTAAAAAATTAGAAACATAGATTTTGAAAATTTGAGTCAATCAATAAATTTTTTTAATGTCATTTTTTTCCCCTTTTTTCAGCACACCAAAACTAGTTAAAATCCGCTATTTTCATTTATGGGGCATTTTGGTTGTTGACTAGTGCGATCAGACAGAATTGCGCGCCATGTTTCGACAACCGAATACGACAAATTCATCTGTGCAAGACGTCTTATCTGACCTACTAACTGTGGAACACGCCGGCATCTTCCTTCTGGTAAATGTTGTTATGGTTTGTGGTGTTACGAGTTGCATTGGCATCATTGCCAACGCCATCAACCTGGCGGTGTTTGTAGAGCAAGGGCTTCATAACACCACCACCATCTGCTTATTTGGGTTGGCCATCTCCGACATCTGCTGTCTGCTGACCTTACTGTGGATATCCATCTGCATGAACCCCTTAGTGATTTCTTCAGGTGTGCCTTGGGTGGCCTTAGACCTTGTCTATCTAACAGGGGCGTGGCCTCACCATATCTCCGGACGCATCACCAGCTATATCACAGTGTTCATCACTGCGGAAAGATGTCTTTGTGTGATACTCCCTCTCGAAGTCAAGCAAATAATGACGCCCATGAAAACCACCGTTGCTCTTTGTCTAATTTACATAATAAATATTCTAGTGATGTGTCCGGAGTATGTGACATCATATCTTTACTGGAAATATTTCCCTGAGTACAATGCCACGCTTTTAACCTTAAACTACTTGAAAGGTAGCGAGAAGATAGCGGGACTAATTTACTGTATCAATTCTATATCTGGGTTAGTTTCTTTCGTGTCTGTGACTGTTATGACCCTCGTTTTGGTGGTAAAACTCAAGGAAGCCTCGGTTTGGCGCATCAAAGCTAAGTCTGCTAACATCAGCGACGCCATGTCGAGCCGTGACCAAAAGGCGGTTAAAATGGTAACCCTTATCGCCACAGTTATGATTATTTGCTTCACTCCTGGAGTAGTCGTTGGAATGGTGACTTTTATTGAACCAGAGTTTGACATTCGGAAGACATATGCCAACACCGTAGCATCGTTGTGGACGATCGCTTGTGTCTTTCAGTCTGTGAATTCCAGCGTTAACATTTTCTTTTACTACGAAATGAGCTCTAAATACAGACAGACATTTCATGTTGTCCTAAGTACGTGGCGCCAGAAGTCTATATAACTGGCTTGAATTATATCTGTTCTTTTTTACTCTGTGTGTATATTTCTTACGTCCTTCTTAGGACGTAATTTTTTGTTATTTGAAGCCCCACTCTGGCTTTTGCCAGGGGCCGCAATATAGGCAGGCCATCAATATGGCCAATTGTCTGAACGCGGTTTCTGGGACCTCTCCACGGTGATCCTCATCCGCATGGTGGCACTTTGTGTCATCGGGTGTTTATCGCTTGTGTGATGTCCTGGTGGGGTAGAAAGTCAGTCAGTCAGTCATCTGTTCTTTTATAATTGTCTTCACAATTTCAAGATCATAGACGATTAGCTAATAATTTATTCCAAGCACCAAGGTAGCGAGATTGTTGAGTACACCATTCTTCTACTTTCTTCTTGTTTTTGTTTTTCTTATATATTTTTGTTATTATTGTTGTTCTTATTCTTGTTACTGTTGTTGTTGTTGTTGTTGTTGCTGTTGTTGTTGTTGTTGATGTTGGTGTTTTTCTTCTTCTTCTTCTTCTTCTTCTTCTTCTTCTTCTTCTTTGTTTTTCTTCTTCTTTTTCTGCTTCTTCTTCTTGTTCTTCTTGTTCTTCTTGTTCTTGTTCTTGTTCTTGTTCTTGTTCTTGTTCTTCTTCTTCTTCTTCTTCTTCTTCTTCTTCTTCTTCTTCTTCTTCTTCTTCTTCTTCTTCTTCTTCTTCTTCTTCTTCTTCTTCTTCTTCTTCTTCTTCTTCTTCTTCTCCTTCTTCTTCTTCTTCTTCTCCTTATTGTTGTTGTTGATGTTGGTGTTTTTCTTCTTCTTCTTTTTCTTCTTCTTCTTCTTCTTCTTCTTCTTCTTCTTCTTCTTCTTCTTCTTCTTCTTCTTCTTCTTCTTTGTTTTTCTTCTTCTTTTTCTGCTTCTTCTTCTTGTTCTTCTTGTTCTTCTTGTTCTTCTTGTTCTTGTTCTTGTTCTTGTTCTTGTTCTTGTTCTTGTTCTTCTTCTTCTTCTTCTTCTTCTTCTTCTTCTTCTTCTTCTTCTTCTTCTTCTTCTTCTCCTTCTTCTTCTCCTCCTCCTCCTTCTTCTCTTCCTCCTCATATATCTTTTTCATGTACTTCTGATATTTTCTTCCCTTCTACTTCCGCTTCATCCCTCCCCTTCCCCGCCCCTATTCCCCTTCGTAACATATCATTTCTCTCCATCTTTTTCTTTCACCTTCTTCTTCTTTTCATTCATCCGAGTGACGTAAATGCGCTGTTCCTGTGAACTGCGGTATTTGCCACCACATCCAACTTCATGGAGCATTTGATGATAGAGTTAACTTCCCAGATAGTTTCAACGGACATGACGTAGCCTTATTTGTGTGATGTTCTCTTTGTCCCCCTGTCTACAGGTCTTGAAGCTAGAGAACCCGTCCAGGGAAACCGTATGTGGACTGGTTGGCCCTCAATCCATATAATTATGAAAACAAACAAATTACAACGTTTAAACTACTACGAGCAGTTTCAGCTATAATTGTGGTCTAGTTTCTGTGTGCCAAGTTTATTGGCTAAGAATTAATTGCACCAAAACGAGTGGCTTGGACCAGTACTGCAGTACCTGCTGTGGGTTGTTGGGGAGACAAAATATACACATTTGCAGGATATCAGGAGCCTCTCTTGGCTAGTTTGGTTCGGGCACACGGTGCGACATGATTCGATTGCAAAGACTGTACTTAAAGGAACATTGAAAAGGGGGAAGTCGCGCGGGCGAGGGTAATCGATGAAGAGGAAGGCAAAGAATAACCTGGTATGACAGTACATGAAATGAAATGGACGAAAAAATCATGCACTTTTTCAAGTGTAAGACAGAGAAAGATGACGAGTTTTCTATGCTAGTCCTTTCATCGGCACACCTCAAGGGTTATGAAATGCTATGTTGGTGAAAAACAGGGACGGAGATGGCCTGGTGTGCACGATTATCAGCATTCCTGTGCCACTGAACTCTAGCGGTCTTCAAGAAAAAGTTGAAGCAGATCATGTGCACTCCTCGCCATCCAAGGAGGCTTCGATTAATGCAGAGCCGACACATGATGCTCTGGCCCTGTTCTCATCTGAGGAATCGTCACGTCTTGCAAATGACTGCTTAACCTCTCATCTATATCTAAGGAATTATCACATCTTGTAAAATGACTCTTTAACCTCGAATCCATATGTTGAGCTTTCCATTCATCATGGGCTGCACCCTCTGGAGATCAGCAAGGAGCAACCTTCAGGTCCATATCTTTGATATCAAGACACAAAGGTACAATCTTTTTTAGCTTGTTAAACCCCTTTAACTTTGTTTCGTTGGGACATTTAGCATGACTGTACGGTAAAACCACGCACCCGGTATAGCTTCCCAGATTTGGTTCCCAGTCTCTGGCGATTGGGGCCAGTGGTAACGGACATTTAAACTTTTCTGCCAATTAGTATCACTTTTTGGCAGTCGGACATTGTAGGTTTTGTTCCAGTGCCATAGGACATGTATCTGACGGACATGTGTGCCTAACATATTGACAAGCTGTGCCTTAAATCAGCGACGGCGACGTTGAAGGACGAGGATGTACGGAGACAGGACTGTGCCGCGAGATACCACTCGCATGAGATGTTCCTCGTCTAGACTGCGAGAAAGTTTTCTTGGTTTATGACTGAGTCGCACCAGTTTAGTTGTTCTTTCATCTGACAGCTGTTTGAGGCAAGGGCTGTTTTTCAGAAGTATATTCGGCAAGCGGATTTTACCTATGTTCCAAATAAGTTTTTGGTAATACTGATGTTAGTCTCCCAGACCCCACCCATATACACAGTAGCTCACTTCTGATTGGTAGTTCCTGAGCCCCGTGGCCTTCTCAATAGGTTACGGGGGATGTTTCGCTGTGCCGTTGATATCACATGTTGAATATTTCAGCACGCCAACGCTTTTAACACTCTAAATACATGGAGAAACTGGGTCGTACACAACCCCTCTAGAGAGTGCTGCACAACTATGTAACAGGTATTCTCTTTCTCGGAATGAAAACGTAAATACAAGACATCGCAGAAACCAAACAACAGAGCGGCACACCTGTAACCTTTAGGAAAGTCGACCAGCCTAACAAGCGTGTGAATGAAAAATGACCTAATCTATTTGGGGAGACTAACGTCAAACTAACCGAGTTTTGATAAACGTTTTCACCCATGAATTCTGAATAGGTTGATGAGAGCCAGATTAGATACTATGTATCTGGTGGCCACCAGCTCGATTTAGGTCACAAAAGTGAACCATTATCCGTGGCGCACGATATAGACGTGTTGCAGGAGTCTTACGTGAGGTTCTGTAAAACCAGCCAAAAACCGGCAGGCGCTCGAGGTGTGGTACGGAGTAACTCCTTATGTGTATACAACAGCCGTAACTTTATTTTACTGCTGTGACTAAAACCCCCGCGTCCACACCATTATTATATTTCTGCATCGATTGATCTTGTTTTTTTTTTTTATTCTCTGTATCTCTAATAAGTTTGACTCTAGGGCCACAGTGGCTGACCCCCCCCCCCCCCATGCTCCATCAGTATGGCTTTAATTGCTGTACCCCACCCCCCTCACCCCTCCCCTATCAGTATGGCTTTAATTGCTGTACCCCACCCCCCTCCTCACCCCTCCCCTATCAGTATGGCTTTAGTGCCGCAGTGGCTGTTACCTCCTTCCCCCCCCCCCGCCCCCAATCAGTATGGTTCTAGTGGCTGTTTCCCCCCCCCCCCCCTTTTTTTTCCACACCAGTATGGCTACAGTGCCTGTATCCCTTACCCCCACGGCCTCCAGTATGGCTGTCATAGTTCCCGAGAGACTATTAAGCATTTTCAAAATATGACGCTGACACAACAGCACCATGCAAATGAGTAACCAGCCACGAGCATATTCATTAACAGTGGTGGCCAATCTTTTGAAGTTTAACGCTTGTTTTAGCAGTGTACTTTATTTATGAAATCTTACTGTGTTAAGAAGATAAGAAATAAAAAGATTAAGAAATCAGATAGAGTATGACTGAAACGAGTCAACAAGTTCATAAAAGAGCAACAGCTAAGATGGTTTGGCTGCAGTATACACTGTGCTGTCTTTTGGAATTTTACATAGTGAGGTCTTAACGCATTTACAAACCTCTAAGCTACAAAACAACAACGATCATTTCAACACCTGTGCTAGCGGGAAGAAAGCAAAGGAAAAAAATACAAAAAGTAGGAGGCAAAGGAAAATTGTGATTAGGACAAAAAGTGATAGTTCCCCGCTGAACAACAAAAGTTGTGAAAATATGGGGGTGACTGCAGTCAAGCTTATACAAGGAATTCCAGAGAAATTTGACTTAAAAGCTCAACAAAATGGGCAAGCAGAAAAACGTGAACAAAACAACACAACGTAACGTTTCGGCCAGGCAGCACTAAGTGTTTGAAAGAAATTTCTCTGGAATTCCTTGAACAACAAAAACAGGAAAATTAAACAAAAGACAAGTAGTTCTTATCTGCAGGGGTCCCAGAATATTCTACTAAGACCCAGACAAGGGATATCTGAGCAAGTCTATGTTACAGACACTAACACACACGATAGCTACACATACCTAGACAAACCACGTGCACGGACTACAGATCATAATCTGAATATAGCATATGAATTATAATCATCAAATTAAATACCAGTTTATTTTACTGGGCTGAACACAAAATTAACGCATACTTCACAAATAATACATTAACAACTACCAACGTGCTCGACCAGAATCTAAAGTGCTAATCATCTCCAGCTAACAAGGAAATATGATAATGAACGCATAAGCTCCGAAAAATTACCTCAACAATGGCAAAACCGAAATATTAACTTGTACGTTATGCTTCAATATGTCACCACACCAGTCAATCATTTATAGCGAACTGCAATCGAACTATCTTCGAGCATGGATACACCCGGATATATTTACCCATGCAGTCTTTTTACTAGAGACAAATTAGGATACAACAGCTGGGTGGGTCTCCTGCCCCTGAGCGACCGCAGTTG